GGCATTCGATGGGGTCGCCAACTTGAGTTCCTGCAGATACATTATTAGATTGATTTCAAGGATTTTTAGTGGACCATTCTTACCGGTGCCATGAGCTTCAACGTATGTGACGCTAGACGAGGGAGCGTTTGCCATACTAAGCACCTTCTTGTAAACGGTCGTTTGAGAAGAAGAGCATGGAACAGTGATATGAGCATCATTGTGATTCTGGTTCACAGCCGATCCAACAATCACACCCAAAACGTGATCACCCTCTTCAATAGCAGCTGAGAGAGATTTAAGTACCACGGCCGCAACACCTTCTCCACGGCAGTAGCCATCAGCAGAGGCATCAAATGGTTTACAGCCACCGGAAGGGCTCAAGAATCCTGCGGCAGCCAGATTCTGATAATCGTAGGGACTGCTAAAAATATTCGTTCCACCAGCGATTGCACGCGAACACTCTCCCGATTGAATTGCTCGACAAGCAGTATTTATTGCCACTAGAGATGAAGAACATGCAGTATCAATCGTCATAGCCGGACCTGAGAATCCAAACTGATGCGCAATTCTTCCACTAAAGAACGCGCGCGATGTTCCCAACATAGAGTATGCATTTGGTTGATGGCATGCAACATTATCATAATAGTTGTTTGCCACAGCACCAATATAGCAGCCATAGTCGTTCGGCTGGTTCTCACCAGCAGGGCCGAAATGACCCGCAGATTCCAAAGCTTCGTAAACGACTTCCAGCAGAACTCGCTTCTCAGGATCCCAGGAGACGGCTTCGCGTCCTGATTTCTTGAAGAAACGGTGGTCAAAGCTCTCCGGGTCATCGATGAAGTTTCCCCAGAATTCAGTGTTGCTATGGTCAGCGAGTCTGTGATTGTGAATATTCAGACGGTCGGCGGGCACTTTTTGAACCATGGAGACGCCTGATGAGAGGAGGTCCCAGAATTTATCCACGTCATTGGCGCCAGGAAATCGACACGACATGCCAACTACTGCCACTGAATGTGGTGGATATTTTGCTTTTAGCTCCCCATTTATACCATTAACCCCGTTGGTACCATTGGTACCATTAATGTTGTGGATACCATTCACCCCATTGATACCGTCTGTGGTACCATTTCTCTGTGAAAGACTCAAAGGTAAAACACCCTCCTCGAAAGCAAACGTGATGACATTTGGGCTATCACTTGAAGAAGCGCCCAAAGTGCTCCGCACAGTCGTGTACCAATCAGCAGTATGGAGGAGGATACTCTCAATTGCAATATCAGTAATTGAGACGTCACCAGCTATTGGTTCTCCCGTGGTATTCATCCGTAAAGGGGCTTTAAGTTGGGAGCTTGCAGGATATTGGAGACCCTTGGCGGTTTGTGCAAACGCTTTTAGCTTTTGAGCTGCGGCAGTGTGATCGGCAGCTGAGTGGAATCGCCCATTGATATCTACGGTTTTGACACGAAGACCAGCTTCTTTCAATGCTTCTGTGAGCTTCTTTCCGTCTCGTCCTTGGGCAGTGACGGTGACGCAAGTGTTGTCGGTAATACATGAGATGTAAGCCTGTATGTGAATGAGCAATCTGTTTCAAAGAGGACAATTTTAATAGGAGCTTACGTGTGAATATCCACTTAATATCCCCTCAAGCTGAGCTTTAGAGAACTGGCCCTGCTTCCACCGAACGGAGAGAGCACACACTGGACTCAAGGACTCCGTAGACATAGCATTTTGATCAATGTACGCACCGATGCACATTGCTAGACGCAAACTAGTGGCGGCATTCACGGCCAATTGCTCCTCATTTCCAGATAAGTCAATTGCTGCAGCAGTAAGAAAGCCAGTGCAGAAACCTTGAACGCCATACTTTTGTAGAGAGCGAAGTGTGTGTGTGTAATCAGATCCAGCATCCGTGTTGTCCATGTATTGGACATACAATGTGATTTGCAAAAGAACTGCGAAAGGTAATGCGGCAACATTCAGAAGCTTATCTGCTGGTACTGACAGTTTCCCTGACTTCAGCCATTGCGAAAGGGATTCGATGGATTCAGCTGCCAGAACCTGTTTCAACGAGGTATCTGAAGCAGTCAATTGCCCAAAAAGCTTGGGCAGGTCTTTGAGTGTGGAATTTAGAGACTCGCAGAGAGTCTCATGGCTCAGCAAGACTTTTCGGAGTTGATCCAGTTCTTGCGATGCAGGAAGGCGAGCCTGAGGACCGCACAGGAATAATGTCGTCGTTGAGATAGCCATTGTGTGCGGATTTTTGAAAGATTTAAAAAGTTGTATAAGGATGTTTCTTGATTAAGGAAATAATGAGTTATGATGTGCCGAGAAGCAATATATAAACTTCAAGAGCGAGGATTCCAGTACAACTCGGCGCATGCTATTGGTCGCTCAAACACATACGTATTCTCATCAAGTGAGTTTGATATCAGAAATGTAGATCTACCATAAGCCTAGTGCTTGATGGATACTGAACACATAGGCTACCTGTAGTGAGCTGGGTATTTATGCACATAAGCAAGAATCCTTTGACAGCGCACTACCGTTGAAGCTGCATGTCCCCCATATTACGTGTATTACATGGTAGACAGGGAATTTCAATATTTCCCTACTTTGGGCATAGCAATCAACGGGGAGCTGGTAAGCTTATCAACTGATCGTCTATCTTTACGTTACACTCAAACACCCATCTACACACGTGCGTTTACCAGCTTGAGCTCCACAATCTAACAAAAATTACAGTGGGTTGAAATATGGAAAGATGTTTCATTTGTGGTATTCTAGCTTATTTACAGGGGAAAGATTGAATGCTTGACTGTCTAAGGTATGGCACCCGTTTGCTTGCTCATCATCAGAATCTCGTTCGAAACAACCGCAACATCTGCAGCCCGGAGTACCACACGATGATCACCATCCCACTCCACCAGTCGAGTTGTCCCTGCCTTACAAAAGTCTTTCAAAAGTCGACGATGGTTAACAATGCCTGGGTCTTTCAATCCATGAACATGCAGAGTAGGAAGTGTCAGAACATGATCTGATCCTTGAAGAAATGAACCAGTGACTTGAGCAAAGGCCCCAGTAGTCAACTCATCAGCATCAGCCAATGCGAGCGAGTCCGTAAGCAACGGATCCAGCGCAACCAAAGGAGCACGACCGGCCAAAAGGATGGCAAACTTGAAATCCGAGCCGGCGTTAGCCTTGCCCAGCTTCTCCGCTCGAAGCTGTTGACGGAGGAGTAAACTAGCAGCAAGTTTGGCGCCTTGACTAAACCCCATGATAGCGACCCATTCACCAGTGGCACCAAGGGCGTCATCGCCATCCATTGCTTCTCTCAGAATCATGTCAAGGTCATCACAGATGACGTCTGGTCCAGGATTAGGTTGCTCAGGTCTCCATCGTAGCCAACGGCGAAATGGCTGTAGATGAGCGTAGGTGGGTAAAACACCGGGATCGGCGGGCGATAGATAGGGCGCGTCAGGAAACACGAGTCTGAATGTGCCGTTGAGAGCTCGAAATAGACCCCGGCATTGAAGGCGGAAAGCTTCAGCGTTGACACCCCCGCCGTGAAGACAAAGGATGCGGGGCAGATGAAGGTCGCCTAGGGTAACGGTTGAAGGTATGTTGACACTCATGTTGAAGATAGTAGTATGTTTTTTGATGGGATTGCTCTAGTGTTGCTCGTCTGGAACACTGGGAACACAGATATGCATATATATACAATAGGGTTAGCGAATGCGGATGTAACCTTACTAAAACTCCTTAGGAAGAGAGTATTGGCCAGGCAATCCAGCGTCATGGCTATCACAACGCAGTGGATACTTCATTCTTATCAGTCATTAGTTGGCCGCAGCAGAAACAATATTGATGTGATGATATGAAGCCCATCAGCATATTAAATACCAGGATTAGGATCCTCATAAGCCACCATCGAAATTGACTTTGGATAGTTAAATCTATCGTGAGCGACGACACAGCCCGCCGACATTTAACAATTAAAACATGCGAGATAGATGAAGCTCTTCAACGTTCTGCATGCATGGCTGACAATTGCATGCGCTCCCCTGATGCCAAGACTGAATGGCAAACAAGCTTATCTTCACACAGACTCTTGTTGATTATCGGGTACATGCCTCAACCGCCATGTTCTTCATCAAATACAGATTGACCGCTCGGCTACTTGGCCACGCAATTGCTCCAACACCACCTCGGAAATAAGCACCGGATGAATCATATCATGATGCTCTGATGATGCTCTGATATCCCCCAAACCGTGTCTTCAATCATCCGTCAAAGATGGGATGATCAACGGGCAAATACATACACATTTTTTGACGGGAATGCATGCACAGCCTCCCTCGTATGTTTTCGGCGTCTAGTCTCAAAGCCAACTGTCGGACCAACGACTTTCTCGTAAGCACTTGCAAATTTTAGGATACTTCCTTGGAGAATATGTAGATGAATGAAAGTTTTATGTAAATTGGATCATGCAAAGGATGAGAATCACTACTCTTCTGCGCCACTTAAGCGACGTAAAGACCGGAATGGTATGTCATCTCAAAGTGAGGGAGACACTCCAATACATGAAACGGTGACTAATCAAGACTTTTGAAGATTTAATCAGGGAGACCGCGCAGATAAGGTGAACCAGAATGTCGGCAGCGGGAAAGGAGCCGGCAGCTGGGCACAGAGCGTGAGTGTGGGGCGCTACATGGAACTGCTGCTGACTTTCTACCCGCCTCGAAAGTAACTGTTCTTCTAGTGGAGTCTTCATAACAACTTATAACCAGTTCCATTAAATTCTTCACGTTGTTGAACTGAATTGTCAGATCTTCGGAAGAATGGAGCCAATAGACTACAGTCCTCACGATAGCGGGACCCCTCAAAACCCCTCAAACCCGAGCTCTGGGAAATTACACAGACTAACGGTGGATCAGTCAGAATTGATCAGTCGAATGAAATTTGAAAGCTTTTATGGGTTCAAGTTGAGGCTAATGCGCGACGCGTATGATATTCATGGTTTAAATGAGAGATTATTGGGGTAGTGACGATTATACGAAAATAAGCTCATATTAATGCGGCTTTGTGGATATACGGGACGTCCCGTCCACTTACATCGTATTCCAGGTTGAAAATCTGAGCTATCAAACAGTTATATCCGGTGCCCGTCTCACGTCAGGAATGTTTCACTCACCAAATTACCTGGAGCATGTTATCCTGTATGTAAGCAACTCAATCGGAACAACACTAGAAATAATGGTGCTACAGTCGGCTTTCAGTCCTATTACCGAAAAGCGAAGCGCGATGCGATTTATCTGAGTTCAGAACTTCATGGAAGAAATAGCACACATCTTGACATTTGACATGATAACACGGTTACATTCTGCTATGATAAGATTGAGCTTAATTTGAGGTTGTTGCGTACCCCTGCGGTATGGATAGATGGCTGAAGCTTTATTTTGTAGGAGACCCTAATACCCACTGCTTTATACTAATATTCGTGGATAAATAGGGGAGTGGGTGCTAAAGTGGGGGTTGAGGCTTACGAAATGGGTGTGTCATCCACATGATTTCAAGAGAAAAAAAGATCACCTAATTTTGTCTTTACCTATGCAGACATAGATCGATATTGGAAGACTAATACGTAGAACTTCACGGGGGGGGGGGCAAGATCACTGCCATGTACCTTGTATAGTGTTTGTGTTCACGTAAAATTTAGCCAACAAACTATTTTACGCTGACAATATGAATCACAGTCACAAAATTGCATAGTACAGTATTTTATTTTCTTGCTGTTCAAATAAGCTTTCTTACTAAGCTTTCAAGATAGACCATATTTTCCGAGCTATTGACGGTGATCACACCACTAATCAAAGCTTACGCTCCATCTACAATCAAGCTTTCTAGTGGTGAAATTCGGTCTTCCCATTATGCGCTGAAACAGGTACATGGTAGGTTATTGAAGGAATGAAAGCATTGTGGATGGAGTCTGGAGTAGAATATTTCCCCGCTAAATTCTTACATACATGACGGAATGCAAATGCACCCAAAATGTTCATGTGGGGAAAAAAGGAGTCCGAAAAAGTCCGACCCCAGTCAAAATCAACCACTAGCAGCATCTCCCGAATCTCAAGCCTTTCCCGAACCAACCTCCTGTCGCAACAGCACCATGGCTGGTTTCTTGACGAAATTCTGTAAATCCGCTTTACACTCAATACCTTCTTTGGTCTTCAAAGCAGCATCCCGCGCTTCAATACTGGCCCAAGTCACGGCACCTTCGTAAGAAAATGGGCTATCGTCGGGCAGTTTCCATAGTGTCCAGGATATGATGACTGATGGGCCGAGCAATCTGGCGACTAGTGGCATGTGAACATTGAGGTAATAGTCGACGTCTAGTTCGGCATCGTGATCGTAAAGATTCTGCTTTGTATTGAGTATTTCTTTTTTCTATTCATCGAATTTGGGAAGCTAAAATCACCTACTGTGAAAGTTACGGGCATTTTGTCAATTTTTGTCTAGTGTTGATTTTTGGTGGGAAATGGAAGAACGCTTGGTTCAATGAGGGGATATCGCTGGGTAAAGGTGTATACACATATCTTATCATAAATAGTGCTAGGTCTAATGCTAGTTCAATGCTAGCTCAATGCTAGTGCTAATGTTAATCATCTAGTTCTGGTGTATAAATTAAATTATACCACTAGCACTTTAGACTACTGTAGGATGAATCATCGGCATCCACATACCTTTTATGTCCGAGTCGTCACACCTTTGCACCAATCATAATTAGAATCGGCAAGCTTTAACCGGATAAGATTGTCAAAGCGCGGGAATAATCAAATCAATATCTGATATAACATGGGAATAATTTTATTGGGATAGTTTAGATAGTTTAGATACTTTGGATAGCTTGGATTGGCTGAATCGGAGAAAAATCGAGTCCGGAGTAGTTCAAAGGGATGGAAGGGGCGGGGTCACATTTTCTCTGATTTTAACCCTCATCTACACACGGATGTATCTTTCTCCTCTATTTTTTATCCTGCGCTCGAAGAGTAAGTTCTACTCACAGTCTCGTACACTTCATCACTTTATTGCTCAGTCGAAAGCCATCCACCCACCTTGCGCCTTTAACTCTCGTACTTGCTTTCGCTTGTCCTTTGTCTTGTCTGTTGTCTGACAATTATCATTTTGACATTCCCACTTCCATTCCTGCTGCTCCATACTGCTCCTCCATACTGCAGAAGCTTCAGGCTCAATTCCAACATCATGCCCACCAACTCATCCGTCAAGCGTGCTCTCGCCGCCATCGAAAAAGATCCCTCCAAAGTATTAGGCGTTGCATACAATGGCAAAGCCATCACAACCAAGCAATACATTCCCCGCGCTGGTAAGTTTTAAAGTTTTCCACACGCAAACTCATGCCAAGCGCCAAGTACAGCCTAACTAATTACCTCTCCACAGGAGCTCAGACCGCACCCGAGCTCTCCTTCGCGGTGCCCGATCCTTCCGCAACCTACATGATCGTGATGCTTGATCTCGATGCTCCTTTCCCTTCCCTTCAAGTCCTGGGTCCTATCCTCCATTGGATTCAACCCGGCTATAAGGTCGGCGCCAACAACGTCTTGATCACCGATACCCCTTTCGTCGCTAACTACATTGGGCCTGCTCCTCCGCCAGGAAGTGATCCCCATCGTTACTCATTCTATTTGTTTGAGCAACCAACCGACTTTGACGGGAAGAAGTACGCACCGGCTAATGGCAAGCCGCTCAGTAATTGGTACCGCATGCGTTACGATTTGGACAATTGGCAAAAGACGGCCAAGCTTGCCGAACCCATTGCTGCCAACTTTTTCTTGAGCAATTAGATACCCTGTTGGAGCATGTAAGCTGTTTGAGCAGCTGGGGGATAAATCCCGCTGAGATGGATGTTTGCGCTGGTGGTTGCTTTGTGATGGAGGAATTTGGGTAAATTATCGTCGTCTCGTCTTTTTTATTCGGAATGGGAACTAAGGTCTCTCAATAATGTTTATATACCTTAAATGCATAAAGCATGATTGCTACTTGAGCTTCCTTTGTCTACAAATACCATTTTATACCACTATATATCTTGATTGCTTTCTAGCTACAAAGTGCGCATGTTTCGAACTGTTATTGACTTTCTCATTGCTATAAGCAGGGGAGAAGACTTGGTATTTTCCTCTCATGGCTTCCCGCGTTTAGACGTTGTTTGAACTTTGGTTGAATTTTAGTTGAACTTTTGGGTTCAGTATGGATTCTTTCAGATTAAATTGTAAGTTACTATGTTCAGTGTATGAACCCTTCTTGGGAGACATCGATTCATGGATCACTTCACTTGAAACATTCACACTTCTCTCAGAAGCAGCTAATTAATATTTTCAATCACGATTTATTTAATCTAGCACTTTCTGCCACTGGATAGGAAAAATGGAAAAATATTATCTAAATACAAAGTTTGGGCTCGGTAAGGGTCTATGTAAATTATCTGCACCTTCCGTGCCTCTTTACCTCTTTCTTTACCCCAGAACAGAAAGAGATATCCACAATTCATCCCAACAAATTTATCCCACCGTTAAATCTCCCGCCGCAAATTTACTTTTCGCCCTGAGCGCTTCGCCATATTTCCAAAGTAAGTAGGGCGCTGGAACACCCAACGCAATAGCCACAAATGCAAGGAGACTATTTCCCCAACTGTAACCCAACGCGTTGTACATCGCAGGCGCGAATAAGGGGAATCCAAAACCGGCAAGACTACGCAGGACCAAGACGGCTGCCATTCCGCTTGCAGCATATCGAGTATAGGCGTCAACAACATATGATTGCATGGTTTGGATTCCGGAGACGGTACCCATGGCGATGAAGAAAGCTCCGATGTCAGGGAGAATCCAATGCTGGTGTGTTTGTGCTGTCCAGCCGTACCAGAAGAATCCGATAGGTAGTAGGATGGAGCAGGGGATCATTACTGGCGCGCGGAACTCTGGGATGCCGACATTGTTGTTTCGTCTTTTTAGTCGGTTGTAGGTGAAGTCGTTGATTCTGGCTGTCATTTCAGCCCCCATGAGATATCCAAGTCCCAGGGCAATGTAGTTGAGACCGCCCATCTCAGTCGACATATTATAGTAAGCGGGGTTGGTAAATAAACCAGGGAAAGATGAAAGGACGAGATATGTGAGGCCGTAGAGATAGGCCATGTAAATTGCTATGACAATGATGATGGGCTGAGTGGCAAGCATGATAAATGGTCTCGCGATCGATACGCGGACGTTACTTAACCAGTTAACTGCTGTCACTCTGGGTACATCCACATACCAGCTATCATCACCGGTTTCTTTTCGAAGGTTCTGAGCTTTCTTCTCTAGCAGTATGGGTGCATAGGTCTCTTGTAAAAATAAGAGACCAACTAGTTGAATGGCCAGACAGAGAAGAGACGAGGCCCAAAATATCCATCGCCATGTAGTATTTCCAGTGATAAATGCACCGGCTATTGGACCTACAGCGGGCCCAAGGAGAGGAGCAAGAGAATAGATAGCAATCGCCCGACCACGTTGTTCTGCATGCCAACAGTCTGCTAACACACCACCGCCAATACTCAGTGGAGCAGAACCACCAAGACCAGCAAAGAACCGACAGACGATCATTTGCGTTCCTGTCTGAGCAAATCCACAGGCAAGGTTAAATATCAAGAAGAACAGATTCGAAAGTTGAAGAACGGGTACTCTTCCATAGAGTTCAGAAAGGGGTCCGACTACCAGAGGGCCAAGAGCATAAGCGAGGAGAAAGATGGATAGCATGAGGGCTCTGACGGCGGAACTGTGGACATTGAGATCTCGACCGATATCTTCCAATGCGGGTGCTACCATCGATGATGCGACGGGAGAGATGAAAGCAAAGGCGGAAACCACGGTTGTTGCAGCCCATTTTCGAGTCATGGGCCAATCTTTTGGATTTCCGGGATCGCTGGGTTTGTCCCATTTGACAATTCTGTCACTGGATGCATCAAAGGAAGGCAAATTAGACTTTTCTTTGGAATCTTTTTCCGTCGTTATGACTGTGGGTAGATTTGAAGCCTCATTGCCGTTGTAGGAATGGAATTCATTATTTGGAGAGACATTTTCAGCACGCTGGTTGCTGTCAGCGATGTCATTTGACATTTGGAGGTTGGACATTTTCAATAATTCAAAGCATAAGAGCGAAGAAAGAAGAAAGGATTTGAGAATCAAGCCATCACAAATTCAAATTCCAATCATCCCACCAAATACTGTTATTCCTGTACGTACTCGTAAAGGATGCACCACCACATTCATCGGACTGCAGAGTGCTCCGAAGGTCGAAGAATCAGGTGTACCTCTATCATTTGAATGAGGAAGTCCACCAATCGGTTACTATAAGCTCGCATAATACCCATGACAAATATGTCTAATCACTAGTTGGGTAATGATTTTCTAATAGCCGCTTAATTATTTTACTCGTAGAATGGAAATAACACGGATATTTGGCACTTGAATTTCCGAACCTGGTATTCGTCGCTTACAATAAAAACTATTTACCTACTCACTTATCCAATAGCCCTTTCCTTTACGATTCTTTCAATGGAGGATTCTTGCAATGGAGCGACTTGCTATAGAGGGCAGCCGCTTTTGTTATCTAGAAGGCGAATAACATCGGAGAGCTTTTTCATCTATCATACAATGACACTATTCCTTTCATAATATAGTTATGAAAACCATTTCTCTCATGAATTCTTCAAAGTCTCCACAATTGAAGCCACTTCATCATAATCATCTATAGCTAATGGCATGTAAAGGCAAGAAGGATGAGTAGACGGCAGAAACACTCGAGCTCCACTCCAAACACTCCACTCACACTAACCCGTTGAATAGGGTAAGCTTACATGAAACAACGACAAAGCTTTGTAGGAAATAGTTGAATCATTCTGATACCTTCTTTTGCAATCTTTTTCGTCATCTGGCGAGATTACACGCACTGATTCGATAACAATCTAGGCGGCGATAACACTCCTTCCTTTCACCCTCTGATTAATCAATAGATGTCAAGGTAATCGCGGTCCCTTGATTTTATTCGTTTAGTAAATAAGAGCTAAGTTCACAATACGAGGTAGTCACTTCCCAACTTGTTAAGCTAGTGGATATATATCAGCAACATAGGTATGTAGAGGGCAAGAGCTTCACATGAACAGCGGGGCGGAGAAATTGACCAGGTCCAACTTTGCTTGTCGGTTCCTTCTCCCGGAGGCATGCTACCAATCTCACAGCCCGCGAGAATACTCAGCAAGTATGGAGAAAGCCTGGTTTTTGATGAGAAAACGATACAGGAAAGAGGCTTCTAGTAGCTCATCAACCATGCCGCCTGTTTTCGAACTATTGATTTCAGAACAGCATTTGAATCCTTCGCCGTTGAATAGAATAAGCTGACGATATCGTGATTGCTGCCTCACTTCAAGTTTTCTCTATCCAAGTGGAAAAAAATGTCTATAAAGGCACCAAAAATCATGCTTCTATCTCATCCGTTCAAAACACAGCAATCTACTATCCTGCTACCTCTTTTCAAAACTCCAACAGCAAGATGCTTCAAAAAACCATTCTTTCGGCCATCTCATGGCTCACGATTGCCCCTCTCTCTTCTGGTTCGCCCACTGGCCTAAACATGCGAACTGCTGTTCCAACCGCACAAAGTGTCAAGACCATGTACCAATTCCCCAACGGCACTTGGTTGGAGAATCTCGCCGTGAGAGAGAATGGTGGTGTCCTCCTCTCTGAATTCGACTCTCCCAACCTCCTCTACGTAAACCCATTTGCACTCAATCCAAACCACGCAACCATCCACACATTCTCCGCTCCAGCGACGGGTATTGTGGGCATTGCCGAGCTCGGAAGCGATATCTTTTACGTTGGAACCATAGGATATAGCTTCTCAACCTTTTCTGCCGCATCCGAGAGTGGACAGCTATGGAAAGTAGACATGACGAATTATCCCACCTCTGCACCCGTGACACACATTGCGGATATCAAATCATCCGGGCAACTAAACGGCGTAACGGCCTTACCTGGCACTACCAAAATCCTCCTAGCAGACTATACCAAAGGAGTAATCTGGCGAGTCGATGTCGATTCTGGCGCCGTGGACATCGCAGCAAACGATACCGCGCTCGCCGCAAGCGGAGTCAATGGAATTCATGCTCCAGGAAACGGGTACCTTTATTTCACCAACACAGGCGCAGGAAGCTACGGAAGATTCGCAATTGATTCGACGGGCACGCAAACTGGGGCCGCGAAAATTCTTTTCCAAAATAGCGAGGTGGCTCCTGATGATTTTGCTCTGTATACGACGGAGAGCGATACCGCTGCTGTTTTGATGGATGGTACTGGAAATCGTATCGTTTATACTTCGGGAACCAGTGATTCTTACTCTGTAATTGTCGATTTGGATGGTCCTACTGCGGCGGCGTTTGGGAGGAGATCGGGTGATACTAATACTTTGTATATTAGTAGTACTGGAGGGGATTTGGATTATGCGGCTAACCCTGTCCCTGTTGGGGGAGCTTTGACGAGAATTATTCTTTAGTAGAGATAGACGGGTTCTGGTTGAGTAGAGGTTGGATAGAAGAGGCTGTGGATAGATTTAGAGATTTTTGACCGCGATGGTTGTATATATACAGAGCTTAGGCTCTTTCACTCAATTTCTTTTTCGATGAGTCGAATTAGTTGGAGGTTTTCAGAGTTATTTAGTTTTCCGAGGAGATGATTTTAGGTTCTGTTAGATTTACTATTAGAATATACATATCTTTTGTTTAAAATCGACTTTGAGATTTAAAAGAACAATTAATCATAATTATGTCTAATTATTTCGGAACAGAACCCGACAAATTCAAGCATTCTATATATTGGTAACGCCATACAATATTCTAGATTATATTCAATATTATTTCTCGTTGTATGAAATTGAATATCAACATTTCAGTATATATCCAAAGATGCTATCACCTCACTATATTGGCCATGTGAGTGTATGTAGGAATTACGCCGTACACAACTCCCATCACTGGAACACTTACTTACGCACCATTAGTTGATTCACAGAAGATATTGGACCTATCACCAAGTATAGAATTCAATCCTGATCATCAACAGTGAATATTCAAGTTTCTGACTCCCCAAGATTCTTTTGATCAGGACGGGAGTGAGTGATTGGCTTCTGTTACATCTCTACTCATTTTCAGGATAACTAGTATGTGGTTTGGTCTTTCCATTTCGGTGAAGAAATAATAGAGAGATATTGTATTAACTTTCTTGAATTTGTAAGTAGATGAAGATTGAAGTGTAATAAGTACTGAAAGAAAGTGAATGACTTTTATTTTTATATATATCTATATTTTACAACAATTCCCTAAGACCTAGTCTCTCGAGATCTCAAACCCATTTTCTTCCCACACTCTAAATGTAAACTTATATTTCAGTCTTTATCACTTTAAAGGTGTAAGAGAATAAGATCTTTTATTTCCTAACTAGTCTAAATTTGGAAAGACACAGCTCAACAAAGCCAGATATATATGAAATGATAGCTTGCAGGGCAAAGCCATTCTGTCATATGAGATAATAACTATGATGCCCCTAGCTATAGAAACTAAAAGAGAATCATCTTAATTGCAATATGATAAAGAGTAATCTGTAAGGCTGCATACGCCTCCGTTTGCAAAATGGTGCCAAAAGGGAGCCCTAAAAAGGGATGGAGGGTGGAAGAAAAGTGATGTTGAAGAATGATAACGAATAAGGTTGTAAAAAAGAGGAAGGAGGATGAGAAGTAGGAGTAGGAGTAGGCTACAGCTTTTATACCTAGCTAAAAAAGGGTAATATAAAGCTAGCTTAGCTCTTTGTGGCCTTTTTGATGTTATTTCCCCGAAAACCCATATGTATGTATAAGTCCCAAGTAGATTTATAGTCAATCGAACCAGTGAATAATGACAAGATTTCTTAATGTATCTAGAATTTCTAGTATATATCCACAGTATAGACCACTCTAGATATACATTAAGTGTAAATTTCAATGCAATAAAGAAATTTAGAATTCGCATCTAGACGAACTTAGCGAGGAATACTGTTGACCTCCTGGGATCTTGGCAGCATATGCATATATATTGCATGATGCATATAAGGAGCAAACAAAACTCAACTTTTAATTCATTCTTTCCTTTTTGGTATACTGTTTGTTTGCTTTCAATATTTTGATTTCAAAGCACTTTAATTCCGAAGGCTGAATACCTAACCTTATTCCTTCATTTTTTTTTGAATATATACTCGCAGCTTAACTGCTTAGCTAGAGGATCAATCAATTCAATCTGATACTCTTTCTGGTCTTAAGAAACCCAACAAATACCTACTAACAGCAGAGCAGGAACAGATACTCGACCACGATCTAAAATATCGGAAAATAAGTTTTTACACTACAAAGCATATACACACGCAATAAAACCCCCATACCATGAATAATCCACAAAAAAGCTCATATATTACTAGGAGATAAATCCCCTCACTAAATCCATCCCCATTACTTCTAATTACTAAGAAAATAAACTCCACCCCCTATTATATTAGCGAGAAATTTACTAGACTTTCTTCCCATTTCCTCTGCTTTTAACTAAAAGTGTAGATACACGGAGGGTGCCAGTAGCCATACGAACTTCAAAGTAAACTTAAAGTAAAATATCCCATACCATTTTAGATATAATTTATAAATAATATAAATATAAGTTTCCCATCCAAAGTACTCTCTCTTTCTTAGCGAACGCGATTTAACCTCCTCTGTACAATGTTAACTCTATAATATCCCATAAATGAATCCAGATTCAATGCAATTGTAACATACTCACCTCCCAAAAACCCCCATCACATTATCTTCGAAATTGTAAAATTCCCTTTCCCTTCCCCTTTCCATCTTCTTTCCACCTTCTCTTCATCTTTTCCCCACCTCCTCTCTATCCCTTTCCATCCTCCCCCCCACTCCAAGAAAGAAACACCACCCTAAAACCAAAAACCAGCGCAAGCCCTCCAATCCCCAATATATCTCCCGTCGTTACATCACCATCCAAACAGTATCCCCAGCCCAACATCATCATCACAATATTTCACAATCACGAATCCAATCCCAAAGAATCCGCACCAAAACCAACTGGCAACCACAAGATGCACTCCACTCCATTCCAAACCAAATCCCAATTTCGAACCCCAACCCTAACCCAATCCCCAAACAAAAAAAAAAAGATATAAGATGTATTCTGATATTATAAATCGATATCCACATATCTACTCCGTAATACTAATAAACAATTCCCATTTTAACTTTTGCTTACTACTACAGTAATAGTCATAGTTATAGTCACAGCCAAATTCACAACCATAGGAAAGACGCCGTATGAATCCCCGCTACCACCTGCACTCCCCCTCCGCTGTTCATATACAAAATGATGAGGGCGAAAGGCAGAGGTGGGGGTTGAATAAAGTCGTATATTCTAGGGTTCACTTACCAATCAGCTAATTAAAATATTTTCGTACAAGGAAGCTATTTTATATTGTATATAAAACACATTTCTTTTTTTCAAGGTAGTCACTTTGACGGGATGAATATGAGATCTTATGAATTTTGCCCTTATATCATCCACTAACACTAATCATTGTAACCTTAAACAATACCATCCTAATATCAACTTTACAAGAATAAACCATCCGTAATTTATCATCCTCCAAGCAACCCACCAGGCAAGCCCATAAAATAGACAATCAAAATTCTCTCGCATCTATAATCTCTACCTCTGATCTGACATTACAAACCAATCACCCACCCACCCATCAAAATCTCTAATAAACATATGCATTCTGTCCCAATGGCAACCATTCAGCTGCCTCACAAATAATATGTACCCCATCAGCCTCGACTCTATAATTTTCAGGATCGACTTTCATCTTTGGCATCTGATCATTAAATTTCATATCCCTCTTCCCAACCGTCCTACAATTTTTTACCGCCTCCACACGGCTTTTCAAACCATAGGTTGCAATTGTACCTGAGGAAATTGACGATTCAGATACGAAAAGAATCGAGGTGGAGGGAACGAGGGGTGCAAACATCGGGCGAGAGATGATGGGTTGAATAGTCGGAATGGAACCATTGGGATCACCCTGTTAGTTTTGTTAGCGAAAAGTTGAGGATAAGAGGGATTAGGTTGATTCACCATTTGAGCGTAAGCAATCAAACCACTCTTGATAATGGTCATGGGTTTAGTTCCAAACCAAGCTGGATCCCAGACGACAAGATCTGCAATCTTTCCAACCTCCACACTACCAATGATATGGCCCATCCCTTGAGCAATCGCTGGATTAATGGTGTACTTGCTGATATATCTCTTAACTCTAAAATTGTCTGCACCAGTGCCCATATCTTCTCCGAGTGCGCCACGTTGAACCTTATTTTTGTGGGCTGTGTTCCATGTTCGCATGATAACTTCTCCACAACGACCCATTGCTTGAGAATCAGAAGACATCATACTGATTGCTCCCAAATCATGAAGGACATCTTCGGCTGCGATAGTTTCAGCACGAATTCGAGACTCTGCAAAAGCTACATCCTCAGGAATGTTCTTTGAAAGATGATGGCAAACCATGAGCATGTCTAAATGCTCATCGAGTGTATTCCTGGTATAAGGTCTCGTGGGGTTAGTAGACGAAGGGAGGACATTCGCATGTTCAACGACACTGATAATATCGGGTGCATGACCACCACCAGCACCTTCAGTATGATATGTGTGAATAGCACGATTTTTAAACGCAGCAATCGTAGACTCAACAAAACCTGACTCATTTAGGGTATCGGTATGAATCAGACATTGGATATCGAGTTCATCGCAAACCGTAAGACAAGAATCTATAGCTGAGGGTGTAGTGCCCCAATCTTCATGTAATTTAAGGCCACAAGCTCCAGCAATAACTTGCTCACGGAGTGCAGCAGGATCACTGTCATTTCCTTTACCAGTAATTCCAATATTTATTGGTAAAGTATCACAAGCTTGAAGCATTTGTCGCATATAATTCTTTCCTGGTGTGCAAGTCGTAGCACTAGTTCCAGCGCTATTCAAGTATTAGAATATATCACAAACATCTTCACTCCACTTACCTAGGACCAGTTCCACCTCCTAACATTGTAGTAATTCCGGATGAGATAGCTTCATAAACTTGCTGAGGGCAAATGAAGTGGATATGGGTATCAAAGCCACCGGCAGTAATGATTTTGCCTTCACCAGCAATAACATCCGTACATGATCCGACAATCATATTCGGAGTGACACCATCCATCACATCAGGATTACCGGCTTTACCAATACCTACTATCATACCGTTTTTAACACCAATATCGGCTTTGTAGATACCAGTCCAATCGACAATCAAGGCATTAACAATAACAAGATCCAATGATATGTCGTCGGATACACCTGTAGCTTGGCCCATACCTTCTCGTAAAGTCTTACCGCCACCAAACTTACATTCGTCCCCATATGAAGTTAAATCCCTTTCAACCTTGATCCAAAGGTCCGTATTACCCAAGCGAATAGTGTCACCTACCGTGGGACCGAACATTGTTGCATATGCTGTTCTATCCATTTCAAACATATCGATATATGCAGCATCTTTAGTTGGGTCGGAAGCATGTGCGAATCCTGCCTTTTCAAGATTGACCAAAATCTCATCGACACGAGAAATATCGACTTTACCGGTAGCAATATGATTTCCACCTCGAATGATTTTGTTCCCACCAATTTCAACCAATGATACGGTTTTAGTATCTCCAGGTTCGAATCGAACAGATGTGCCAGCCGGAATATCGAGGCGATAACCATACGCTTTGATGCGATCGAATTCGAGCTGGGGGTTAGTTTCAATAAAATGATAATGCGATCCAATCTGCGAACATCAGTAAGCTGTAATAAAACCACAATGGTTCGACTCACTTGAATTGGTCTATCACCTTTACTCGTCACCCTCAACCTTATTCTCTTTCTTCCTTCATTCAATCTCACCTTACCTTTTACAGTAACCAAAGCACCAGGACGTTTGGTCGACTCGTATTCCGCATCTAATGGCAATGGAAAAAGATCCATATCCGGAATTGGCAGAAAACTTCCATAAAGTGCTTTTGCCAAATCTCCATCATCGGTACTAATGGGATGATGTACCGTCACCAAGTATGTTCCTGTTGGAAAAGTCCCTTCGACCATAAGTTCTGTAAGCGTTGAGCAGACCGCTGGTTGAACATGACGACGCCCAAGCATTGTTGCGCCAATTGACATGAGATCTGAAACTGTATGATTTCCATCACGAATGAGCTTTGAAGTCGTCAGTTCGTATTCTTCTTTTTTTTAGGGAAAAGGTCGTCCTACCTCTTGAAGATTGTTTGCTATAAGTGCCTTGAATAAATTAGTTACATTACGGTAAGACTTTAAATGATTAAGGGAACTCACAACTGCTTCGGAGTGATTGAGCTTCACTCCTCGAGCAAGCCTTCTTTGTGCTAGCAGGCCCAGCTGCGAGATAGCAAGCTTATCTATCTATTTTGTCGATCAAAAATGTTATTCTTTGGGTGCTTTTACGCTGCAGCGATAAGACTCTATACTTACTTCTTTTGGTATGAGATGCATTCTGATGCTACTATGGATCTCCCCTTGAATTGAATATGGACAATTGCATCAAGTAATGCTTTGTCGATACAGAGGTATGTTAACTTTTTGGAGCTTTTCAAATGTTAAATTTTTGATAGGGACTTGAAGATAAGGATATTCCTCGGTTCCCTGCAGCTGATAAGGGGAGCCTATGACAGGGATGAATGTGTCAGTGAATCTTGGCGAAATGGAGAATTTGGAGCATCAGTTGTTGGTAGATGATGGTTTTGATCATAAAATTAGAACATACAACAATACGTATATCTAGCTATTTTCACCACAAAACCACCCTGTATATTGTGTGGGAACATTTAGGCGAGTATTTTATTTCAGTATTTAAGTAATACCTACCGCAAAAGTAGCACAAAGTAATCTTGAATTTTATCATCACCTGGTATTTTCTACTTATCTTCGTAACAGTGTCCCATGAATTTTTCCATCATTTCCATAACAAACGCCGAATTCCCAGACAACCAATCTGTGGTTGGTAATTTTTCCCTTCAACTCCAATTCCCAAATCAGCCCTTAGTTCCTTGTCCCTTCACACGCACAGTGTGTACATGGTATAAAACTCCGAGTATGATAGAAGTACCCACGCCACGCTGAAATGCACATTAATTCATTAATATTTACAATTAGACCCCTTAAGAATAGCCAGGAAAAGCTCTCGACAGTGCTCGACGCCCTGTTCGTGACTCGTTAGCTTGGAAAGCGGATAAAAGTTCAGAAGCGCCTACAAGGTAATTGATGCCTCGTTTGAACCAAGTCCGGGTCTTGTATTGCAGGTTGTTGCGCTGCAATCTCGCGGATTCGTTGTTGGGCCCTCTCTGGTCGAGAAAGTCCATCCTGCAACACCTCAACTCCTAGTATACTGTTCGCCTGTGATTGCGACCGTATTGCACTTGTCATTAATGGTAGTCCAGTGACAGCTGGTGATCCAACCGTCATTTGTACGTTATTCGTAGGGAGTGTTGAGATGCTAAACATCCGCCTTTTGAAGCGAGTGCCCAAGTCCCGGACAAGAAACCTTGGATGGCCAGCCTCAACATCCTGGTTCTCCTCTTGAATAGTGATTCGAGATCTCAATCTTCTCATGTTCCTTTCCCTATTGGTCATTGCGTTGGTGATTTTTATTGGGCAATGTCCAACAGGCAAGACACTTTTCTTACACATCGGACATAGTGAACTATTGTTGCTAAGAAATGGGTCTATACATTCTGGATGAAAAATGTGGCCACAGGGCAACTCGCGAATCAAAGTAGTTCCGCTTTCAAAATCATCCAAACAAATAGGACAAGTAGGTTGAGAAAATGGTACAACTCGTTGGGCTGAGATGGATAGTGAGGATGTTCTGATTTCGGATACCAAAGTCGGAGACAATGCATTCAATGCTGAATCATCAGAGAATGAAACCTCGTTTTCCTCCGTTAAGATTCCCTTGTCAGAAGGGATTTCCTCGGCTGCCCTTGACCCATTTTGCGCAACATGGGGCTGCTGCCAGCCACAATAGTAGGTGAATATAGGCATTCTTTCGATGATTTCCTGTGGTACTGTAAGACGCTTGATACCCAATGCTTCCAAGTTCACTTCGCCAGTTTCCACACGTCTCCGGAGAGCCCGTCTTCGACACCTTTGGAGATAATGCATGGAGCCTGAAGTGATGGTCAACATGATGGCGAGTACGGCCACAATAATCAGCAGAAACTCCCATAGATTAGGCAGATTTGTGCCATGAGATACATTCAGCTGAGTATACACCCGTGCATAATCTCGGGGGTCGACGCCTGGGAAGCTTGATAGCTCATGGCCATTGGGCACGTCCGTAAGGTTGCCAGAATATAGACTTATTTCATGCATCATCCGTGCCCCTACGCTTCCAGGAACGGCATATACCGGGTATTTGTTTGTAGACTTCCATGATCCACCATCGTCAAGTCCCCACAGTTCGGAACTGATTGGTGGCGGTTTAGCTGTACCGTTATCTGGCTGGTAGAAGATGAAAGCTCGTGCAGGATCTTTCCGTGCTGCAGCTAAGAAGCCTTTCGTACATTCTTTACTAATCCAAGGTGCCAATGCAACCAATGTGAAATCCGTTGCGGGAAGATTGGCTTGCCTTGTAGCATTTGAGGGAATATATTGTTTTGAGATATTGTAGCATGGACTGTCCTCGTCGAGATCCGGCACGTACAGGAAGCCTCCTATAACACCGGTCGCATCCGCATTACGAGTTGATAATGTTTGAATATTATCGGAAATGGATTCGGCATAGGAGATATTTGGCTATTGAGTTGGAATTAGAACAATAAGCTCTCCTTAGCATCTTGGTAACATACACTCAATTGAGATATAACGCTCGTAAGCTGATCATTTGTGGCTAGGCTATTCCATCCTTCATCAGGGAAAAGTAGACTATGATGCGGTCAGTAAATAATAAGACCTTGAGCTGCGTAAAGTAGCGTTTATCGATCGCATTGAAATGAAAGGGGTAGATGGGGATCAACGTCAATAGCGATGGTAAATGAGAGCAATTGACTGTTTGACCGTTTTCTTGGTAGGAAACACGATCTCGTATTCAGGAATCGCACAAGAAGCGGACGAAAGGGACGCAAGAGACGAAAGGGAGCATTGAAAATTTGTTGTACACATACACGAAATTATCGACCTCTTTCAAAGCTTTCATAAAGAATTGTTAGTTAAAGATGTATATAAATATATAGATATTTATAGAAAGGAAAAAGATATGATGAAGGTATTATGGGGAGCCAAGAAGGTTGACATCTCGGCGCCAAGCACCAAGCACCAAGCATTTGTGGAAAGCTGGGGGAAGGTAATCTTGATTTGAACACGGCACTGGGAGTGTGGAAAAAACTTACACATTTTGCTAATAAATGTTGCGCAGGATTTATTGCACCGGGTAAAGACCCTCCGGCAAAGGGAATAATTGTCGGAATTACCATAAAATAGAATTGTAATATATAGGTAGGTATCTTTCGTGAATTTAATTTTTCGACAAATTTGTTTTGAGAAATTTTCCAACCAAAAAACTGAGTATATATTTTCGAGGCTATTTGTTCATAGGTACTGTACTATACATACATAGCTTACCTACCTACCTTGGCTATGGGGATTCGGAAAGAAGTGAGAAGAAGATTGCCAAGAAGTGAGGAAGCAAGGGAAAGCGAGGGAAAGCAAAGCTGCATGCGCGGCTAGCGAAAAAGCTTGTTCATCTTCGCTCCACGATGACATCCACGCTGCTATCCACTATTTCAAAACCCCAAGTACGGAGTATATGTACTCCATATATTAGGTGTGAGGGAGATCTCCTATGACTGGCGCGCTATAAGATTCTCCGATAATAATGTTGCATTCATGAGAGAACGAGAAAGTCGAGAGGGGTAATTATTTACTATTTCCTGTATCTGATATGGATGATTATGATGAATGAACATGTCTTACATAACCGTGCACCACTACTATGTAACCTTGACATACGATATATCGACCCACCTTTTATGTACTCTGTCTAACAATACCACTCTCATACCTAAAGGATAAAATGAAGATAGTGTTCGCATCCCACATCTAAACTCATCGGAGTAAAGAGAGAATGATACAGTGTCATTCGCATGCATTGTATAGTCTTGTGCTGTGCGGAACTCACACGGTGTCTAGATGACTCTAGAATCTAAGTAGATGCTAGAGAATAAAATGGAAACACAGCATCACAGCTTATTGCGCAACAAATCTATTTTCAACTACTAGGTACCTACATATAGACTTAAGAATATATAATGAATTACCTACATACAACACAAGCTCATAGCTTACTGTACTCTGCACCTATACTTTGTAAACATGACCATGAATTCGTATATCCATCCATCGTGAAGTATGGCCTGCGCTCTTCACGTTGATAGCGAGCCCTTCCTGATAGATTTTCTTCAGATTTTCTTCAAATTTTACTTCAGATCTTCTTCAGCATTACTGCTTATTACTGTCTCAAATATGTATCAACAACACATAATAATGCATACCAAACCTAATCTCCCCATCTCAGCAAGCCAAATTCAATGCATATGCAAAACAGTGGAGTTTTGAGTCTTAAAGAAAAGGTTCCGAGCAAATCTTGTTCATCCAATCACCAAATTGAAGGACCTAGCCATTTCTTTTTCCCTCGGTATCACGTGGTGATATGAACACGGAATAACGATCCACCTAGCCTTATCTAACTGGGCCTAGCTCTAACTGATATTCGGCCAAGCAAACATGACTACTAACTCTTAGTATTGACAAGAACGTACTGGACCACGTCCTTGATTTTATGAATATCCAAATCTCCGTGTCCAGGTGTCGTTCGCGGATACCATTGATTGTCACTCAATATCATAGTTGTGTTAAATCAAACTGCCTAAAGGCCTTCGAGGCTCAACAAAACCTACCTACATAATAAACATACAGTTTGATTAGAACACCGTTCTAGAATCTTGAACTCCAATCCGACTACATAATTCATGCGCTAGCGCCTGCAACTTCAATCAAAATGCCTCCTATGCCAAGTCAAAAAGGGACAGGAAAAAAGGGTCGAGATCCGCGTCAATCTCGAAGTCGAAATACAACACCAAGTCTAGTTGGTGCATCGAGCTCTGTCGCACCTTCTGATGCCGGGAAAACCCCATATACACAAATCCCAATCAATATTCTTCGAACTTCTGTGGCGGAAGAGATTGCTGAGCAACATACTTCCACTATTCCCAACTCAAGAGAGCTTGAGGCTCTTATGCAACGTATGGAAAGATTGGCCTCGAGCGTAGATGAACGTGCTGCGGTATGCGACAAAGGGATGCGAGTTTTGGCACAATCGAGGAAGGAGAGAAACGAGGAACTAGAAATCGAAAAGCGAGACGAAGATTTGAAGGAGAGAATGAAGAGAGACTTGGCTGAAGAGGAAGAGCGGGGAAGACACAAGGCGCACAAGATTAAAAAAAGGAAGGATGTCAGTAGTGCCAGAGAAGAACGGCCATTGACACATGGTGCCCATGTTTTGGCACCACAAGATGGATCTAATCTTGGTATGTTATCTGTTGATTTGATACATCTGTCAACAAATACTGCGTCAATATTTACTTGATCATCTTTGCTTCTTGCCCATGTCGCTAATAGAATTCACTCGCAGAGGTCGCCGTGCCTAGCCGAGATTATACACATAAACATCATAGAAAATTATCAAAAGAGAGAGACAATGATTCAATCAGTTCGTCGCTTTCTCCCCCTGCCCCAGCAACACCAACAGCAGGTATGAATGCCGATACAAAACAGAAAGATGCTGTCGAAGATGAATCCAGTTCCGATGAACATCAACCTCCCCCAGCGCCAAAGATTCCCAATTACCAAACATTCGGGCCGGATCCCTCCACCTTCCCAGATCCAACAGTCTATGAAATTACGAAAATAAAACCCGGAGATCCTAGGATGAGTGAGGAGGAGAAGAAAAAGGTTTATTCTGTGGCCGTGTATCCGACAAATGATCTTCATGATCTTATCCCAGGAACGCCACCAGACAAGGATTTCAGCAATGCAAAACCAACAAATCAAGTACAAGCTAATACCTTTGCGACATACCTAGAGCCATATTTCCGGCCATTCACGGAGGAAGATCTCGCGTTTCTTCGTGAACGCGGAGATCGTGTGAATCCATTCATTATACCTAGACGTGGAAAGAAACACTATACCGAAATCTGGGCGGAGGAGGACGGCGCTATGTCAGTTGACACACCACATCAAGGACGGGACAAATTGCCTCCAAATCAAGCTCGTGGAAGCATTGATGATATTGATGATGCCGTAGCAGAGACGGATCAGGTTTCTGCTGGCCCAATATTGTCGAGATTGTTGGCAACTTTAAGACCAGAGAATCGAGCACCTCCCTCGGAGGATAAACCTATGATGAACGGCATAAGTAATGGCGAAGGTAGTTTCAATGGTGAAATGAATGGAGACATGGCGGAACCAAGTCAACACAGCGACACATCCCCCTTACCTCCTGCAACTTTCATGTCTGATTCGGCATCCGAATCTTGGAAGAAAGCAAATCATCCAAAGCTCGATCACGCTCAAGTAGATGAAAGGATTAAACAGGAGCTTCGCCACATTGGATTCCTCCCACCCGATACCGAACCCGATTACGATGCTCATTATGACGACGAAATAGCCGCACGTCTACGATTTTTACAAACCAAGCTCAGGGAACAGTCAATTATCAATGGAGCACGGAAAGCTCGATTACAGGAAATTACGAAGGAACGTATGGCACATCAGGAATATCAAACTATCCTCGAAGATCTTGATGGTCAAGTAAACGCGGCTTATACCAAACGATCCCGTACAATAGGAAAAACCAAGAAGAACAAAAAATCTGGAGGTGCTGGTGGTGGCAATCAAGCTGCCAATGGTGCTGCTGGTATGGCAAGACCAGGTCTCGGCGACGTGACCAAGACTTTGATGGAAAAACGGCAAAAATGGATCAAAAATATTGGAGCTGTATTTGATGATGAGCGGAATTTGGGCAAAGTACCGCGTTCAAAGGATGAGGGTAGCTCGATATTCAAGCCCGAAATCATGGCTGAATTCATTCAGAAGGAGAAAGATGGGTGGGATGAAGATGGAGATGAAGAATAAGCTTGTATTATACAGTATCATTTATAATGGATCGGATTGGCATGGGGATTTCGGGAAGGTTTCTTCAGCTGCGTCAAGGCTCATACAGGCAGGAATGGAGTTTACGGACGAAGCGTTGCATTAATTTTGCAGTTATAGCGTAAGGCTCTTATGAATTAATGGATTTCTTTTAGATTAAATATCTTCGGAATCATTTAATGTGGTGGATGAGTTTGTGGTGATCTCTCAACTTGACGAATGTATAGGGAAATCTTGCCCAAACTCTATATGAAAAATCGGCTCGGAATAGTACATATAAGGGTCTTGGTAAAGGATTTGTGAGTTACACAGATTAATTACTTTATATGCAGGTGCATGTCTCTTAATCAACTTCAACGGCCTAGAGTGGATGGTTGCATTTGATATTCCTTTTGTCGATTGTTTTCTTTTCTTCTGCATTTGAAATAGTGTTTGCTTGGAGGTATGATAATTTTTCAATTTATGTTAAAGGAGTGAAGTTGGAAATTGAAGTGATGAGGCTGGAATTGAGGGTACGATTTTGGTTTGGGGATACTTTGAGGGTATGAAGACTTGGGACGGGGGACTTTGTGAGATGATGCTAAATGTAGTTTGCATAGTTGGATATTATACCTATGTATTACTCGGTTGGAGACTTTTGGTTATTGTGGAGGGAATACTTGGGAAAGTATCTACTACTAGTTCAGATTTTGTTGTTGTGGAGGATGCTGTGAAAATGGCTCTTGAATGTGGAAGATGTATTGAGTGGGTATTGAAAAGTCATTTGGGGACTTCGGCAAGCAATGAAGAGGATGAATTCTGAGCACTATGTGAGGTTCCTTGATCAGAGCTTACTACTACTTGAAGGTCAGCGCAACAAGTTGAGACTTTTCAATGCTGGAGTATAACTTGGGCATTCAAATTTTATTCAGAGATTGTGATGGAGGGTGAACAAGATGAATGCAAGATCTTACCTATCCTATAGAACGTCCTTTTGATCAGCGAAAGTGATGGCCAATTTTACCTTTTCATTTTTAGAGTGGACAATGGACATTGAGGTTTCAATTGCCAATTTGCGCTGTTCAAAACTGGAAAGGGCCTTCTTGATTGAGGTTTTAAAAGAAGCAACGTTCCTGCCACTTTCGGAATAACCGAAAAATAAAAAAAAAAAGGGATACACAAACAAACACTCCTCTCAAGAACAACTCAGTTTTCCAATTGAAAATCACTTGTTCCAATTTAGGGTTAAAATGGACTCTTCTTATAAAACACAGCAGAATTTGATGGCCAAAAAGGCAGAGGAAAATGGTATTCCGACTTCTGAAATCACAAAGCAGTTTCAGCAAATATTGAGCCAAGTCTACCAGCAAAGTCCCAATTGTAATAAATCTTGGGCATTGGAAAAAGCTGAATATCTTGTTGTAAGTAAAGACTCCATTCCTTTCCTGATGCATGACTCCCTCCAATAATTAATTACTACACGAAGCAACATACTAACAATACGCTCTAGTGGACAAGGTTCTGTGAGTTCTTTCTGTCATGGTAAATAATGCAATTGGCAAGTTACTTCTAATACAATTCTAGTTCCAAACGATCCATGGCCAGGCACCCCTCCAAAGACAACGCTACTTCCTTTGAGTGATGATACAATGGGGTCAGAGTCCGGCGAGGTGACCAGTTCGCCGGACGAGAAGGATCCGTCGAGTTTACCAAGCAAGCCGAAGCCTACCTTTTCACTCAAGGTTGAAGAGGTGCTGCTTAATGCAGCTGGTAATGCAACTATATTGGTTGCATACAAGGAGGCATTAGTGAACATGAAGGAGCGATATCCACGGGAAAGCCTAGAGTGGCAGCAGTGGATGTCAGGAAGCAAGGTCTGGCTGTCCAACTGTACGTATCTACTTAGGTATTAAGCCGTACCACTGTTAAATTATTCATAGTTCGCAAACAGGGTACCTTTCCCTGCAATGAGCCACCTAGGTCATACGTTCTCCGCTCTTCGGATGCCAACCAACTTCATGCTGGACATTCTCGCCATAGTGGCGAGGATTGGCCCAGAAATGGGCGGTCTGGTAGTAGCTGGCGCCCGGAGGAGGCTACCAGTCGACGTAGATCTAGGTCGCCTCCCAGTGGACCCAGCGGAAGAGTCGCTTATCGACAAACTAGGTACCAACAAAGTAGTGAAAAGGCAAGACAAGGTAGGACAATCAAAGTTGAAGAATCACCAAGACATGACCGAACAATAAGAGTTAAAGAACCATCAAGAGATGGTAGAACAATGAGGAATGGAGATGGAGAACCATTGACCTATGGGCCAAAAGAGGATCAGATGCAAAGGAAAGCATATGCTATGGGTGGTGATGATTTTCGCCATACGTTCTTTCGTGCTATGCAAAATAGCAGAGACATCGTAAGAGCCAGTCATCCCGAGTACGACCGTTCTCAAAAGCATGTGAGTGTCAAGCTTATAAGCGTTCTCTACCTGATACTGACTTCATACTGTAAAGTGGCTTGCCGATCGGATGGCCTGGGAGAAAGTTTTTAAAGATGAGCCATTTCCCTGGTTAAATGACAAGCCACCAGGAATCTCTAAAAATGCTCTGACGAACGATAAATTAGCAATAAAATATGCGAATTTTTCCATGGCAACTCCACCAGCCGAAGGTGTCGTCAAGCAATCAAACGTCAAGACCATAGCACCGGCTGGAAACAATCCCTTGGTTCAACTGAGACCTTCTCATAGCAGAAATTCGTTTGATCCAAAAGAAACAGATGGTGGTGCTATCTTGGTTGGGTCAAGCCCTGGGATGCCAAGAAAGCTCCTAGTGGCACAACCAAAAGGAGTGACGAAGGCTGTCGGTGACCAATCCTCAGGAAAAAATAGAGCGAATCCAGTTGAAGGCATTAGAGAAGTGAACATTCATAATGGTATCCTTACTCGTGCTCTCCTAGGTGACTGGGACGATTCATTCATATTCGTTCAAAGAGGTCTTGGAGTAACAATGGAATGTGAGTATTTCTTTTGTAACTCAAGCCAATTTTGATTACTGGTCTTCAAACTGACAATCTTAGATAATGATGATGCCTCCGATTATCTCAGGCTCATCATTGAGCCATATCAACCGGGAGACTGTGCAGCATTGGAGAAAGCGTACCAATTCCTTGAAATCTGGAAGAGGCTGATACACTCTGACCACCTAGTCAAACTTTACGATTTTTGGGCCCAGTACAAGAATCATGACAGAACAAATTCTGTAAGTGTACTCTAGTGCGATCCAATTCCATTGTTCCAATCTTTCTTCAACATTCAAATATCACATTCAGTCAACAGCATGGCTACAGCCCTTTCATCTGAACTTTTCATTCTTCTAATCTTACTTCAATGTTCGGGTCACACTGGTCTAACTGCTTTTAGGTTAATCCTGAGCCCTTAATATACGTTAATGGCCAGAAGATACCCTGCCCAGGGAAATTCGGCGATCTCTGTGACTTCTTCTCATATGAGATCCAAAACTATCAATCCAACATGGCTATGTATACCAACACGGAAAATGCACTTGCCTGCAGTACCCTCTTCGAGGCTAGGCCATTCAGCATTCATCTCACTAGCTATCCACTTCCGGTAATGCTTAAAGTTGATGGCAAGACGAGAAACAAGATTCTGGATGAGCATGATGCCTTCCTAGAAGAGTGGGTCCGAAGGTCTTTGCAAGAACGGATGAGCTTATCGGACATGAGCAATGACTATGCAAGAAGGCGCGATCAACAACGTATGGATATGGATATGGATTTGGATGAGTTGTTGAAGGAAGGGGCAGCAAAGGCTAATCAGAAGCCTTGATATCACATATAGCGTCAGCGGGAGTCTTACGTCACATGAGCTCTTTCATTTGTAGCAATACTAGTGAGGTAGCAAGCAATTTACTTATATTCGTAGAAGAAACTTGTGTTTGATTCAATATCACAGAATTATATGTGGTGAATACGTATTTTCATTCTGCCACCGAAACTTGAATACATATCGAAAAGCCCAACATAAATTCAAAGCTTCTCTTCCATTCTAGAATGTAGTCCGCCGCAAGATCCTACAAATGAATGCGAATGCGGGGTTCATTCACGTGATAGCCTGTCTTAGCGCGTTCTTCGTCGCGTGTGCCCAAATTAAAGCCCCGAACTTCTTTCAAGGTTCAAGATTTGGTCGATGTTATATATATCTCAACATGAGAAATTAATTCTATACTTGATGATCTCGAGGATAAACTTTTCAAAATGTCAACATTTGGTGGGTATATGCCTGAGTTTCCAGACATTCGTGGTAAGTCAAAATGAAACCACACAGACTTGAGAAGTTATCATGAATCAAATATGACGGCAGGTCGAGGAAAGAACTGATATTTTCGTAGTCGATTACTTCTGCCAAATTCCAGGACGTACATCTCCACTAGCATACTTCTTAAGTCATGTTCATAGTGACCATCTCGTTGGACTTGACAATGATCGTGTTAAATTGCCGTTCGTTTATTGCTCAGCTGCTACCAAGGAGATCCTTATCAGGCTTGAGAAGAGGAGAGATCGGTTGAATCTGGCGCAGGGAATTCTAGAGAAGGAGGAGAGAACTTATAAACATTTGAAGAATGTTTTGAAGCCAGTTCCATTGGACACTCCGACGCTGATTGAGTTGGCGCCGAAAAATGAAGTTAGGGTTACGTTATTCGATGCTAATCATTGTACTGGCGCAGTGATGTTCTTGTTCGAGAGAGAAAATACCGCAGTCTTGTATACTGGAGATATTCGATCGGAACCATGGTTCGTTAATAATTTGACACGAAATCCTTTCTTGATTGAGTACACTAGCGGCATGAAGACTTTAGACTGTATTTATCTCGATACAAGCAACATTGGACCAATGGAATTTCCAACAAAGGCCGAAGGTCTAAAAGAATTGATCGGGAAAGTCAGAAAATACCCGCCAAATACCAAATTTCATTTCGCAGCTTGGACCTTCGGATATGAAGAGGTTTGGGCTGCATTATCACGAACACTAGATTCACAAATTCATGTGGACAAATATAAGATCAAATTATACGAATCCTTGCGTCAGGAAGGATCTAATGGCCAACTACGTTTTCTGGCACCTGAAGGTCCTGTTTTGGTAGGGTGTGTTGTTGGAAATAGTCCAAAACAAGGTTGCTTGACAATTGATGAGAGCGTACGAATTCACAGTTGTGAAAAGGGAATGGGTTTTTCTCTTTATGGAGAAGAGGATGTTGTATTGATTAGACCTATTATTTCTCGTCTGCCATCTGGAGTTGAGGTAGAAGAAATTGGTATTGGAGGTGGTTGGGGTGATTTAGTACCAAGATATGAAGTTACTATGGATTTTGATGATGTCAAGGAATTGTTAGAGACAGTGTTGGTTTAAATTTCCTTCATTTTTTGATTCGCACTAATGATTTACTTAGGTTTGCGGAGACAGATGAACCCATCGTTGAAGATATTCGAAGGATGCTTCTCGCCGAATTATCGTCTACAGCAGGCGCTATATCACTAGATAGTATATCATCTCTTAGTGATCAAATCTCCTTGAAGGATCTTGGTGAATCTCTCTTACGAAAGTTGGCTCATAAATCCTCTAAAGCACTTGAAGAGAAAGACCTCCATGCTTCACGAGACGATCTCCTCAAGGTAATCACTTTTCCATACTCACGTCATTCTTCATATCCTGAACTTTGTCATCTTGTTGAAATATTCAAGCCAAAAGACGTGTATCCATGCACTGTGGATGAAGAGAATTGGAATGAAGGTACGTAGTCTCTTCTATGGCGTTTAACTACATTTTTTGATACCACTTGAGCGCTTCAGTGGCTTCGAATCAGACTAACCACCTTACAGGAGTTAGTATGGAAGAGCTCTTTGGTGATCATTGCTCTGCTTCAGTCTTTCGACATGACAAGGAGATGCGACAAATGATGGCTATTATTGTTGCAGAAATGAAAATGTCAAGTCAACAAACGCAAACAACAGTTGAATCCAAATATTCTCCAATGCCTAGCCATCATGTTGAGGAATTAACATTAACAGCAGCTAAACACGAGAATAGAAGTCGTTCTTCTACACCAATTCCACCTCAGAAAAGTTTAACCAGCACCAGTGGGAAACTGTGGTCGGAAGAAATACTTACCTCATCTCCAGCTCCACCATCTCAAATAGATGTAGCTAGTATCAGTCAAACACCTGGATCCATAGCTACTAAATCAGACTCGAATTCAAGTAGTCAGGCATCAAGACGAAGAACAGCCACGGAGATAATTAGTCCACCGCCATTGAAGCGTATACGACTTAGTCAGGGCTCTCAGATAGATGGTCCATCGTAAGCTCTCCAGTTTTCTCTCTCGTCCCAATTGCTGTTTGTGTGACAATATTTTTTTCGTTATTTTCCCTCTCCCTTCTATCGTTTCGGATTCCGTTTCTCTCTAGAGGTCGTCCTTGACTAATCGATGATTTCCGGGCTCTGTAGGTCATCAAAACCCACTTCAACCTCTGCCGCAGTTGGAGAACAACTGGGTCTAGAGTCAATTGACAAACCTAACGAAGACAGCATTGACTTAGAGTTACCACTCACAACACTTATGGAAAAACTCGACACTATCCCTACACTATGTGAAAAGGCAATGACAGCATTGATGAATCTTCAGAATGGCGATCTAGAGGTTGAAACATATATCAGCCAGGAACTTCCAAATCTGAAATCCATCAATACACGAATTGATCAGCTCGTATCACCTTCAGTACTCTCGGCCCTCCGCATGACTATGCTATCATTTTCTCGAGAAACCCTTGACATCTTATCAGAGTTCCAAAGCAGTTTTGAGGGTACTTCAGGCGTGCACATAGACGTGAATACATACTTTTGCCGCCAATTCTCACCTCTACAATACCTCACGCAAGAGTTCAAACAAGTCACATCATATTTAGCACAACCCCTGAGTCAACGTAAGCCCTGGGATTCTACTAAGAGTTTAGATAGCATGTCTAAAATCTTTCAATCTAAAGCCAATAAAGACGGAGATATAGTCGGACATGGAGACATTTTCACGCTCATGTACGATAATGAGTTAGCGAAAGACGATGGCATTGAGGATGGTAATGATGATCATACTCCAAACCATAGCTCATCCCTGATCGCAGCTGGAGAAATTAACTGTGGCAGCGAGAACCCTCCTTTTCATGACCCCATTGATGACATCACTAGATGCGGGGATTGTGGTCATGAGATTTGGTTGGATCAAGCCGAAAGATTCGAATGGACGCCAGGTTTCTGCACGGGTTGTGGCGCCGGACCTACTCCCTTCTACGAAAATGCTGATTTCCCCGGAGCTCTTCCTCGTATCTTCGAAGAAGAAGATGATGGAAGTGAGGTTTATTCACAGGACGCCCGTATCTTAATTGGGAATACACATCTGGACTATCAATCTTCTGCATACGATACGCAAGATGAAGATTCTCAGTTGCATGAAGAGTATGAAATCAATAGCTTTATCGATGATGACGAACCTGATACAGATTCAAATTCGGAATCTCATACTTCTAATCATGAAAGTGAAGTAGATTATAAAGCTGCGTTTCAAAATCTTCAGAAAGATTTCAATGAGCTTGAGAATGTTTATTTTGCTCTGGTGGATGAATACTCACAGTTTAAATATGATATGTTGGGAACTACTGAAGAAGAAGATGATGATGAGGATGATGGTGAGGGGGAGGATGTTTTGATTAATGAATATGGTGCGCATGTCGTGGATGTACTGGTTGCGCAGGGTGATCATGTGGTTACGGATGTAGTTATTTCGTCGTTTAGGGGGGAAGATAGTCAGAATTTTGGGGAAGGTGGAAATGTGGATGTGGATGTGGGTGAGCGGGAGAGAGGGGGAGATGGTGATGATGGTGATGGTGATGATGATTCCGCGGGCGAAAATGTGGATGGAGCAAGTACAGTTGCGAGATCGTATACTCTTTCGGGCTTGAGAGGGGTGAGTGTGGAATTATGAGGGTGGAATTGTGATGAGGTTGGGGCTGTCTGGGTGTTTGACGTCGATCGAATGAAGAAAAGGGGATAGCATGTATATATGGGATGGTTGGTTGCTTGGTGGTTATTTGCTTTTTGATTTATATATATTTTGATACCCGGATTTGCTTTGGCGTTTGCTTTTAAGATTTGGGATGGGATGGGGTGGATGGATGGATGGTTAGATGGGGATAAAATTAGATTAGATGAGATGAAATAGGAATGGGAAAGAGGTATAGCTATACCTAGCTATAGATGTAGCTGTGAAAGTTTACGGGTATATATTTGATACCTATATATGGTTAATATGGATGGATGGATGGATGGATAGGTGGGTGGGAGAGTTGCTTGAGCGGTATATAGTTTAGCAGTGATTGGTTGTATGGAAAACTTAAGGACGAAGAATGAAGAATAGAATAGAGATGTTACAACGGCTATCTTCTATGCCGCGTCACATGACTAAACCAAGGTAACGTGATTAAAGTCACGTTATGGACCGCTGAGGAACGCTGGCTGTCCAGGAACGCTGGCTGTCCAGGAACGCTGGCTGTCCAGGAACGCTGGCTGTCCAGGACCGCGCAGCGGTCCTGACTAGCTATAGATATGAAGGTCTATATAATCAAGATGGATTCTCTTTGTATAGAGCTTCGTGCTCAAGATCAATCATTTAATATACTCTACTATTAGTTACGAATTGCATATCATTATTGTCATTACTTCAAATCCTTGCTTAACGCCTAGTTATAAACCATCTCGAGAGCCTAGAGCACTTCCACATGATCTAGACGGCAAACCTCGTAACAAGAGAATAGAGTATCTATATCATTTTGTGAATTTAGAAGATAAGAAGACAAGAAGATAAGAAGGTGGGGGAGTCAAAGAGTATAGAGGATATAGATGAAATTTTATAAATAATTATATCAACAACTTTTCAATATTGTTAAAAAACATATAATAATTGTATTAACTAATTATATGTTACGAGGTTTGCCGTCTAGATCATGTGGAAGTGCTCTAGGCTCTCGAGATGGTTTATAACTAGGCGTCAAGCAAGGACTTGAAGTAATGACAATAATGATATGCAATTCGTAACTAATAGTAGAGTATACTAAATGATTGATTTTGAGCACGAAGCTCTATACAAAGGGAATCCATCTTGATTATATAGACCTTCATATCTATAGCTAGTCAGGACCGCTGCGCGGTCCTGGACAGCCAGCGTTCCTGGACAGCCAGCGTTCCTGGACAGCCAGCGTTCCTCAGCGGTCCATAACGTGACTTTAATCACGTTACCTTGGTTTAGTCATGTGACGCGGCATAGAAGATAGCCGTTGTAACACTATATCGTGATCCTTAGTGATCCTTAATGATCACTATTGATCATTTGTGATCACGTGCCTTGGTAGTTGTGTAGCCCGTCGTAACATTATACTAGTAATTTATATATTATAATATAACTCTCTTTGTAATCAATTAAATATATATCTCTAAATCTTGAGACTTTCCAATCGTTTATACATAAGATTTATTTTATATATTCTCTATTATAAGATAATTATATATAGATTGAGATAAGATTATAAGTTTCTATTCCGAGATTCCGAGTACAGTATACTACCTAGGTAATTTCAAGAATAATCAATCAAAAGACGTCTGAGACAACCAAAAAAATCAGAAGAGAAATATTTCTATAGCCTACACCGCCTTCTGGCCTAGAGCTAAAGTTAAAGCTAAAAAAACATCGGAAAGTCGGAAATTCGGTAGTTGATAATGATGGGGATTGAGATTTGATTTTTGAGTTTCGGTGATCTTCATTGTTATGATGAATGATGATGAATGATGATGATGATGAGGATAGGGATGCTATTAATAATAATGCTAAAAATGTTGATCTATGAAGATTTTTGAGTTTTTGAGTTTTTGATGATGTGATGTGTGTGATGTGTGTGATGTTTATCTTCTTTTTTTAGTAGTAAGTAAGCATCTATAAGAGTGAGTGAGTAGGTGGGGTAGGTAGGTGGGTAGGTACGTAGATAGTAGGTAGGTAGTATACTTGGAAGAGGGGAAAAAACAGGACAGAATAGGACAGGAACAGAATAGGTGCGG